TTTTTACACTTAAATATTGAGTATTGACCACTTTAATTAGTGAGAACCTAAAGGAACTTTAATGCCAGTTATAAGAAGTTCACAATTCTTCTAAAAAAATAATACCAAGATTATGAAAAGAACAATTGAATTAGATCATTCGTGGTTATCACTCTGAACAACTATAGAAAGACCTTGGTCCAATAATTAACCAAATTTTCATTATCCAATTCCATTTGATCATTACTTCCTAACATATCCATGGACTCTCTATGTGTTAGTTTCTAACAAATTGGCGAGGAAGAAATATATAATCTATTATGTGGTCTAAATAATTGTCGAACAATTTGGATAAGTTGTTCAGATATACACAAAATATCCCAGGAATTGGTTAAACCTCTCATACAAGTGAAAAGAAGAGCCATAAATAACAAATATAGGTAGGGAGGAGCACAAGGTTCATAAAACAATATAGGGTAGAATAGGATACAAACAAATCCCACATCGATAAAATAAAACAAGAAATAACAATTTATATAACACAAACATACTTTAATGATTAAGAGGCCTTTTAGGTGATGATCAAAAGCAAAACCGTGAGAGCTAAGACTCAAAGCAGATAATATCTCATCATTGTAGGTTATTTTTGTGTAATAACCTTATAAAATAACCCTTATAAAATATCTTCTCAGACAAATACCACAAAATAAAAATAATATGGGGTAGGATGGGATTTGGGATACAAAAAATTTAGGGCAATTAGTAGAAATGAAACTTTAACCACTTATGATACTCAACTTCTTTTTACTAATATATCTTTTCTCTATAAAGTTATTTAGTTTAAGAAAATGTTTTTTAATTATAAAAATGTCACTATATTTTCAAAATTTCATATAGAAAACATGAAAATAATTACAAGTTAATTATTTTCCTTAATTCTTATACACACTTTTAAAAATTAAAAAAATAAAGTAAGAACAATGTGATATTTTCAAATTAAATAAAAATTACAATTTCTATTGTTATGCTAGATGATAATTTGTTATATGTTTTATCTGATAACTTTATGTCTGTTATATAGAAAGTTAAATTAGAAAGAGATGACTTGATTGGACCCAATTTTAACTCTATATGTTAACTATTCTACACCAGTCTAAAGGATTCAATCTTTGTGTTACTATTTCAAAGGGGTAATTTACATGGCTTCACATTGTTGCTTTGAACGTGTAAGGACTTCAATTAGTGTTCAAATAAGTATGAAAGTGAGTCAAAAAGTTAGAAAATGGAAATTGATTCATACATGATGGCCTTGCTTCTTACCTTTATAAACAGTGATTAATTCTTCACCTAATGCTATCATTTTTGCTTGCAACAATTAAGTTGATATGTTTTTTCCTGATCCTGATAATTTTAGAGGGTTGCTATCTCGTTATTCTTAAATCCTGATTTAATTTAGTGCTTCAATTCGCTGTTGCCTTACTCTAGTGCCTTTTTGGGTCATCAACATGATTGAGCCAATGTGTTTTGTAAATATGAAATAAAACTAATAATTAATTTTATGTGGTTTAATTATGACAATTTTGAACTAACGAAATTAACTTGGCAATATTACTTTAATTTGCACCATTCATTTTTTTTTTCTAAACACCGCCCATCTCTTTCTTTTGTTGGTCTAGAAATACTCACAATAAATGCTCATTTTCAGAACTTAATATATTTTATATTTTAGAATTATAATTCCAAAAACCTATTTGCATATCTTTCTAGAATTATAATTCCAAAAAAAATATTTCTATAAATCTACTTGTTACACATTTTGGAACTATATAAATAGACTTTCGAAATCCATAATTCTGACCGTTTAATTATGGAAATCATTTTTTTATGGAATTCTGAAATTTAATTTTTATTAGACAAACCAATAGCAAAAAGAAAAACTCTTTGGTACATTAGAGATATTTTTGAGAAAAAAAAATGGATGATATATATGCTTAAAAATGGGTGGTTGAAAAAAAAAAACTACCAATTCATTTAAATAGTTTAAGCCATTTTAGTTTACTGATTTAGAGAGCTATTGAAAAATAATTTGTCTTTTTTTCGTGAAATTTGATCGCTAGCAAATTCAACATAAAGAAGATTAAATGATAAACCTAAACCTTTTCGAAAAGTTATGTTGAATTTATTACTTCAAGAGCTAATGATTTTCAACTCAAATAATGGATGCAATAACTTTTGAGAGGAAGAAAAGTTACCTATTCCAGTTGCATGTGAACATCAAGATGTACTGCCAACGTAAATGAAATTAGGTACACAAAACTCTTTTATACCCTCATACATATATAGTTCATCCTTCATAATGTATGTTTCCTTGCATAAAGAAAAAAAGCAGTGTGCATAACTACAAACATTATTCATGATGTGAGATTTAACTGTTATTTCAAGAATACATGCAGGAATAAATTCATAGTAACAAACATATATACGTATACGTAAGGAAAACTCATTTACATTTTGCTACCTAAATTCCTAAGATGGATTTGAATTATCAAGTGTAAAACGTAGTTTAGATAATAAAGTGCATGTACTAATTATTTTTTTTATCTCTTCATTATATTTTATCACAATTTAAAACTTTACGTATCAACTTTATACTTCTTAAAGAAAGTAATGTTTTATGCAGTTATGCCACATAATAGTTATTCCTCCTTTTGCCGACTATCTTATGAAGTTATGCCATGAGATTTGATTTTCGGTCCAAACGCAACATTTTTCAGCAGTGTCCAAAAACCATGTGGCCCCTGACACTTCACAGGCCAAGATGAGTACATATTTTTTGTGTTTTATAATAATTTCTTTCTCTCTCTCTCTCTCTTTCATAGGCGAAAAGTCTTGTGGAACTGTTTTGACCATTAGGAATGCCATCAATCCCTAACAGTAGCAATTCAAAATTATAGAGAAACCATGATTCGTATGACCAAGAAGCCATGATTCTTGGCTGTACATACACATGGCTTTACTTTTCGAAAAGAAGAAGAATATATAATGGAAACAATCCCCGGAAACTAAAATTATGCTCTCTAGTCATTTCCAGCTCTTAGCACAAAGTTATATAAATATCTGTGTTTAATTAAATCTGATCCCTTGGGAAATCACCATTTCCATGTGATTTTCTTAACTTTCCTATCCTTGTCACCCAACACAATCATAGTTATGTGGCCTTTTACAAACAACAAATTTTGGTTGAATCTAGAATACAAACAGATGGAAAGCATGTAAAATGCCAAGTCAAATAATGTAGAGTAGAAAATGGGATTTAATATATTGTTATGTTATCAACAACTTATAAATATATATGTATAATTGGACGGTTGATGGAGTTATTTGCACCACAAATTACCCATGTTCAAAAGTTGAGTAAAAGTGAGATGACGTTGATTATGTGATAAGCACTTACCACTTTGGATAGGCTCTTTTTTAATGGCTGCTTCCTGGTGGGCTAATAATATAGTCTATAATATAATGAATCAAAATCTTATAATAGAGAATCATTACGGTGATCAAGGGATTGAGAACATTAGGCATGATAATGGGTTTGATAAATTAGCAGACTCTAGAAAGTTGATGTTGAGATGAGTATAGCCATTGAAACTTGAGACTACTATAGCATGTGTCATGGAAATAAAACGTCCTTCAAAGTTTCATTGGCACCAAGAAAGTAGTTGTGGATCGAGAGGAATGTAAGAGAATAAAGCAAGAAATAAATAAAAGCTCTTGTATTCTACATTAAGAAACCCACATAGCCTAAAAGGCTATACCCATATATCAAAAGTTGGAAGGAGAAATGCTGAAAGATGGAATTTTTTGTGTCCCAACGGTATTTGCCTTTGGAGCCTCCAAACCAAACCCATCTAGGATTCTTTTGACGCAAGAACCAACAAGCCTAATGAATGGATGAGTCTTTGATTCAAAGATAAATAAGCTATGCATAACAATCAAGTGTTTGATTTGATTTGATTGCCCCATTAAAACTTGATGCAAATTACTTCTAACACCATTCTGCAGTGCTGCACGTGTACTACCACTTTCAAGGAGTGGTTCATGCAGGTAATTAGGTATCCGTTGTTTCAATGTTTTACCACTAATAAATCATATCCATAAAATCAAGGGCTTTCTTCTTTTGTCGGTTGCACAAAACATTAATTATTGAAGGGGCAACAGCACATATTCTAAGTGGTTTCTTCACTTCTAAGGTGGTGAACAGAGGAAAACATCCATAGGGGGAAGGAATATGTACGGCATGCTTTCGATCACCTTGTTAGCTTTAAGCTATTGACCCACTATCTTCGCTCAATGAGCCAGCCATAACCAATGTGTGCAGCTTTATCTTATTCAGTTATTCCCTTCAAAAGTCAAATTCAGAAAAAGTCAGATTTCAGAGAACCCTTGAGGTATTGACTGGTGGAAATTACTGGACCTTTACCCCAATATTTCAACCTCTCAAACTCAAATAACCAGGAACACAATCACTCTATTCACCCACATGCTTAAGCTCTGCAACCAACTACAGGACAACCTAAACTTGAAATCCGGGATTATAGAAAATGAATGTGCACTGTTGTCTCTCAAGTTCCAATAACAGATATCAAATATCTGAGATAATTTGCCGACAAAAACATGTCATAAAGAGAGTTGATAGTGCACTGTCCTTTCAGCCTATAACATCCTATGGCAACATTGGTGGCAAGGAATGATCGTTATTATTTAAATTAGTGTGCAAGGATATCGCACTGTAACAACAGTAACAAAAATAAAATACATAAATATGAACAGGATTTTGCCAAATTAATTGAGGCAGCTGCATCGTGACAATGTGTTTGGGCAGTGTCAGAAGTAAAGTAGTAGAATCAAACCAGAACATTGGAATTGCAATAGCTAAAACTATTCATCTGTTATTTTACTTTAGTCATCAACATTGTAGCCAATGACTTTAGATCTGGATGAGAAATTATTGAACCCTGAAATTGAAGCCGCGAAGTTTTTCATGTCATGATTTGATTAATCAGACTAAAGATGCCCAAACTGAATATAATCTGTTAATTTTTAAAACATTAAAATATTTTACATTTGGCTACTCAATTCTAAATTTCTAATTAGAGAGCTTTTTCCTAGAACACAACGTTTATATTTCTGTTTCTTTCAAGCTAAATCTCAATTTTAAAACTCAAGCCTCATAACAGCTCTATATCCCCAAAGGAAGTAAAATGTTTGTCTATGGTGTTGAGAGTTTCTTGATCAATTTCGGTGGTCACAACCAATCTTGGAAAAGAATAATCAAATCCTCTTGCTGGCTCCACATCACCTTCAGCAGTTTGATTCTCAAGCATTTCATCGTCTTTAAGGTCTACCACGCTAGAGCCTTCGTCCGAATTGAAAAGTTGGGCCCTCGTCTCTAAGCACGACTTCAAATCCTCCTCAGTTCGGGCTTTATTAATTTTATCCATAAGATCACTTATAGCTGATAACCTTTCGGTCCTCTTTCCCCTTTTTGAAGCTTTATTAGCTTCATCATCAGTCGATTCATTGATGTCACCATATACAGCACACTTCTCTAGCTTCTTTAATCCCTCATCTACAATTTGTTGTATTCTCATTCTCTGACCATCACTTCTCATAGAGTTTGATCTTAGCTGCAATTTTAACCCGGAGACCATTGTCTCATTGCTCTCAACTGGGGTAGGATTAGACTCCAATGCAGAGGACACATTGTCATCCAACGACTTCACAGCTAATACTTCTTCCAGTAAATCTACATTCTGCATATATCGGTCAAAAGCTTCATTTTCCACTTCAACATTCCGCTCCTTGTATTCCTTTAACTTGGAAAATCTCCATTCGTTGATAGCTGCAGCATCCTGTAATCATCACAATGCTATTACTTTCCCACAATATACAGGTTACCAAAACATGTTATACACTTAAACAAAGCGTTGTTTATGTATTGTGGTACCTTTCTAGTTAGTGGCTTCTTTGAACGAAGTGAAAGGTGTAAATTATTGAACTGAGCAAAACTATTGGAAAGTTGTCTAAGTGATGCAACTCTACCCGCACTTCTGAAATAAAAGGAAAAAAAGAAATCGTCTGTTCAGGGAAAAGAAATAATTTGAACGAAGCTTTAAGTGCAGATTGTATAGTTGAATCAACAAGTCACACTGGAGGAACAAACTGGAAGTTCAAGAAAATTACTGCATTAAGAAAATGGTATAATGCGAAAAGGAACACACACAACCTATGATGTACCGATACGATACGCGTATCGGATACGACACGTATCCGATACGGCGATACGATTATTTTAAAATATATAGGATACGATACTTGTAAGATACGTGTCATCATTTATATTAATGTTCATATATTATAATAATTGTGTACATGTAATTATGATCAAAATTCATAAACATTAAATATATAATTGCTATTTTACAAATCCAAATTAAAAACATACTTATTGTACATTACTAAAAATAAATAAATTATAAATTATTTCATCATAAATTACTTTTTATTATTTACAAATAAAAATAATATTATCAATTTCGTTCCTTTCTTAAAATTATCTATATAGAAGATAATTTTCATTTACAGTTCATCAAAGACAAATATTTCTATGTTTCTATATTAAACATGTTTATATATCTTATTTAGTTGTAATGGATATTTTATAATTTTTCAAAAATTTGAATACTTTATCGATACGTATCATTAATAAGTATTGGTGAAGTATCTGAAAGTATCGGAATTCAATAAAATTTTTATAATATTTTTAAAGGTTAGGATACTTCATTGACACGTATCGGTGAAGTATCCAAGAGTATCGGATACGGATATGTATCGGATACGGATACGTGAAGCAAATTGAAGTATCGGTGCTTCGTAGCACACAACATATTGAGCCATTACTGAGTAACACGATTCATGTAAGGTAAAATGAGAAAACTATAAGCACAGCACTACAGAGTCCAGCCTGGCATTTACAAGGAAAAAATAGCAATGCTATTCAGCAGAAAAGAAAATTCTTGCCTCTATTTGTTAAAGTAAATTAGACATGTCCAGTAAAACCCAATGTGTTTAAAATATAAACTAAAAAAATTGACATGATTAAAATGTAAGGTGCTGATGCTCAGAACTTACGTTGATTGAGGTGGTTCTAAGGATTGCTGTTCATGTGGAGAGGCACCAGAAGATGGTGTCTTGTCAGGAAAAGTTAAATTAGCTTTTAACACTGCATTCACCATAAGACAAAAGCTAAGTGGTGGGAGAATAAAGATCTGTTAGGACCTTAAATTATGAGAAATATTACCAAAAAAAAAAAACAAAACAGAAAGTACACAGATAATTTCAATCTTGACAATAGATTGACAGAACACTCACATTTTTTTAACACATTTTCTTATTTCACTTCTTAATATGTAGAAAAGAGTTGTATTTTTAGTGCCACTAAGGGGGCAAAGGAGCAATCTACTTCATTTAGTAACAATTAACAAACCAAACACATGGTATTATGCACGGACTGATTTGTACTTGAATGCATAGTCATTGTAATCTATCTCAGTTAGTGTTGGGATCCAATTGCAAGGTATGGGATTTGAGATTCACATAAGTATGAAATTCTAGTGTGGGTTTTATAGCTGATGGAAATTCCCATAACACCTGCCTCAATTCTTGAAGTGCAACTTATATATTTATTATGCAACTTAATACTAATTGATCTTAAAGTGGAATCTAATATGATGTCAAAGCCTATGGTCTATCTTCGTGTATCACTTGTAAGGGGAGGAGGGTGTTGAAAAGCCTCACATCATCTACATTAATCCCTGGGATTTGTTAGCAACTTCACATAATAACAATTGATGTTAAACTCCTTGGGCTCTCGAAATACTACGGCTAGCTTAAGTAATGTGATTCTCTGAAGGCTCTTATAACTGGTATTTAAGCTTTCAATCATATCTTTCAACTGTAAATGAGCAGCACAGGTGGTGATGTCAAAAGTGCTGGTGCATCGCTAACACACATGAAACATGAATATTGAGGCTACATAGAGCATTACAGGGGTGTTAGGATCCAATTGCAAGATCTGGGATTTGTGTCCCATATTGGTATACGGGACCCTAGTGTGAACTGTGAAGTTTATAAGGCCTTAAGCTCTCCAACTACAACAATTATAGGTGCCTTAAGCTTTAGTTTAGGAAGAGAAGGGAATAAGTAACGGGAGTTGGGGATTGTAACAGAAAAAAAAAAATTAATAGAAGGTCATAGGTAAGGTAATGGAGCAACAAAATTCATATGAAAGAGGGAAATCAAAGGAAAAGAGAGGAGGTAGAAAGATAGGCCAGGCAAGATTTGGGGCTCAAGAATTCCCCAAGCTTGTATTCGTACATTCCTGGAGCTCATGTTAACCAGGGTTCTATATGTTCAATAAAGATGTTCTTTATAACTAAAAAACATAAAAATAAAGATATCCTTTCATTTTCTCTTTCTTTGACATTAGTTGATTGTATCAATTGGTATCAAAGCTTTCCATCATGTCTCTCAGCTACAAATGAGAAATGTGGTTGGTGATGATGGCATTGCAGGTTTTGCCCAGGACTAATCAAGGGGTCAATGCATATCTAGCTTGTCTTGGAGTAGGAGCTTTATCACGTAGAAGTATGTTAGGATTCAATTACAAGGTATGGGACACAAGTCACACATTGTTTGGGGTTTCTAAGGCCTTGGTCTCTCCAACTACACTAATTACTTAATAACTTTTATGGTGTTGCTCTCCCAAGGTTTTTATCCGATAGATGTGTCTAACAGCCAGGCTTGAAAATGCTATAGGGGAATAGCAAATATAAAGGAGTACATGTGGTAAAAGTGACAGATAAGGAAAATTTCTTATAATTCATAAACATTGAACTAAACGCGTAAACTGAAAATTAATATTCATATATTTATATTATAACTAATAGGTCCAGATTTCAAATCTGCAATAAACTAATAATTTACATTTATTACATGTCAACCTGATTCAGAAAACTACATTTTACCAGTTAAAAATAATTCAGAATATGGATGTACAAAACAGAGGTAAAACACAACAAAAATAAGAGTTTTATATTTATTGCATGCCAATCAACCAAAAAAATAGATGTATTACATGGATCATAAATAACGTTTAAGAACAAAGAGGATAATAGAGAACCCTAGGCATACCGATGAAGGGGAGGCAGCACAAACTGGATCATAAACCGAAGCTCTCAATTTTTTACTTTTTCAAACTGGGTCGGGTTGGGTAAAAAAACATGGATTCGAACTGAAACCTGGCCTAAGGCAGCCCAAAGGCCCATATTGAGAAGATTAACATAGATCATAAATAACAACTTTCATGATTAAACTCACAATCAGGTTCAATCCAGAACGTGCTGCAATCTTGCTTACAATCCAGCACGGTTGAGGTGGGAACTCACAAGATTGTGTGCTCTTGCCATTATACTCGCATTTTCACAACAAAGGCAAAGACCATTATATGAACACAAGCAACTGGTAGCCAAATGTAAGCAGTGATTTCTTTTTCCCCCCATAAATACATGCATTTCAAAATATTTTTCAATATTGAAAACTATTTCCTTTTCAATAAAAGAAATGCCCCCCAACCCAATGAATTGAAAAATAAAATATAAATTGTATAATTAGTATAAGGGTTACATGCTATGTTAAATCTGTTTCCTAAAAACACATGTAACTCCGCGACTGCAATTTTAAACCTCCGATAATGTAAAAGTACTAAAAACTTAACTATTTTTTTTTATCAATAACACTGAATATTGAACTCATAGCTTAATGACATGATCATTATTAATCTAAGGCATAACAAACAACAAGTCAATCGCAACAAAAATAGCGAAATAAAAAGTAAAGCAATTCAAGGGCAGGAAAGTCGTAAGACAGGGAAAAATAAAACCCTAATTTTTGTGAACCAATTGAAACAATGTGTTAACAGGAAATGTCTCCCCTTTTAAACAATTAGGTGGGAGGTGAGATGATACGATAGAAAAAGTGAGAGAGTTAAAGGAAGTAGAATGAATGAGAGAGGGGAGAAAGTGAAAGAGATAAAGCGATGGTTAAGGGTGTTACCATGAATGTGACAGGGATTTTGATTTCTGGAACAGCAACTCTTGCAACATTCGTAGGGGCATCTAGAACGAGCGACATTGCCGCACTGTTTGCACTTGGGCTTGTTGTGGCCGCGTTGGGACTTGGGCGGAGTAGGGGACGCAGCGATGCCTACGCTTAGGGTTGGGGGTTTGGGCGTGGTGGTGACGTTGTTGGGTGCCGCCATCAACTCCGGTAACAGCCACCTCCACCTTTCTTCTTAGCGCCAAATTGATGTGAAAATGGAAAATTGGAAGCTCAGCTCAACGCAAACTCAACAGAGGAGAGTACGCCATAACGCATTCTTATGTCGCCGCTTCCACCCTCAGCTCTACCAAGGACTTCGCTTCTGGGCCGCTCATTGGGCCGCTCTCATGTAATCTCAATTTTTTAATATGCGTCAAATTCTAAAAGGGCAAATTAACTAAATTAATCAAATTTTGCTTTTTACGGTAAAACAAAATATATAGATTTAATATATTAAAATGGAGCCATTTGAATTTTTAGTTTTGCAAACGTTAATTTATTAAATATTATTTTACGTGTGTTAATTTGTTTTTGGTACTTATGGATGTTGGGATTTTTTTTTACTTGAATTTGTATGTGTATTATATATATTATTTATTGTGGTTTGGGATTCTTAAGAGATTTGGTACATGGGAACATTTTTCATGTATGAGAATACGATTATTGGAATCAAAAATATCATAAATCACGATTCATTAGAATAATTATATTTAAGGAACAAAAAAAATTATTACTAGAGTATTTAATTGTTTTACTTTCTCACCTATGTATTTTACAATGAGTTAAAAAAAAAATTACCATTGTTGATGCTCTCCCATTTTATCGTCCCCCTTCATTCCCTTGATAATTTGGCTTATATCTTTATCTTTTAAAGTTCAAGAATTACATTATCATTTATTACTAGATAATAACTAACTTATCTAAATGCATTATTCACTTATTATAGGGCATGTATGTTAAAGGTTTTAGAGTTGCAGCGAATAAGTGGAGGAAAAGTGAGAAAGGGAAAAACAGAGAGAATATGAAACTGAATGTAATTCCAATATCTATATTTACAAGAGAGGATAAGGCTATATATAAGTTTGGGAAGTCAAAGCAAATTAATAGAAAATAAAACTAATCACTAATAAACTCTAAGATCCCTTTACATATGTGGATAATGTATTCCCATTTATAAGTCAAGAGGTATACAATGTTGGCATAACCATTTATTACGAGACAATGTAGTTTAAATGAGTTATGAATATCCTAGACTATTATATATTTGGTGTTCTTGGTACATGGATATGCATGATTTGCCTTCATTAGATTATTATAATGTATGACTTTTTCATGATGATTGTATTGATAATTCATGTAGGTTTTGTGTTGCCCTCAGAATGTGGTTTGAGTGACTCTAAAGCATTTGACTTTATGGGCACAGTTCTCGGTCAATCAACTAATTTAAACTTCTTATTTGACCAGATATGTTACCCATCCAGTATGAACTAGTGTGACTCGACCAATTTTTTGAACGAACTGCTAAACTAGTGAGTTAAAGGTCATACTAGTTTATCTCTTTTTAAAATGTTTGAAAATACATATGCACCCACTTGTTGTTGTGTTTTCACATGTATTCATGTCTTATTATTTCTAATGCACGCTTCCCTGTGTCTATTGATGACCTTCCACCCTTGCATGTCTTTTCAAAGTCTTTTAAAATTTCAAAAAATTAAAGGGGTATTTGGGAAAGATGAGATCCAAAATACACTTTTCGATATTTAAGATCTAGTAACAATTAAAACAATGTACTCAATTGATAGATATATGACATAAATAATGTTTATAGTGTATATTTTTTAAAAAAGTAAATATTAATTATATAACAATGCATGTGGTTCAACTAGTGACCCAATACACTAACTAAATCAATCAACAACTTGAGTTTTAAAACACTACTTAGGGTATGGTGCATAAAATATATTCAGAAACCTTAGAGTCTTATAACCAATTGAAAGGAATTGTGACTAATGAAATCAATTCATAATTTGATAGGATTAAGTTGGAACCTCTAAAATAGACTAATAATTATCTTAATAAATTGGATGAGAATATGAGAGACAAGTATGTTGTAAGCTTCCTTTCATGAGATTGGGGCACTACTATGCATGAGCATAAGCCTACTCAAGTGAGCACTTGGTTGTGCTTAGTTAAACATGGAAAGATGAGAATAATTCAGCCATGGGTGTGCTTGGGTAAGCATGATTGTGCTCAGGTAAGCATGATTGTGTTCGAATTCGAAGCAAAACTTTGATAAATCAAGTACAATCGTGCTTGGGGTAAGTATGATTGTGCTCGCCTTTATTCTAGCAAGACTGTGTTGGTGTTTAGTGTAGTCATGATGGTCCCATGTTGGCTTCTTCAACTTTTAGAACTTGAGTATGTGAGAATTGAAAGGACTTACGGAGATAAGAAAAGGAGAATTGGGGAACAAGGAATAATGAATTAATCAGTGGTATTTAATTAATACCTTGAGAATAATTATATGCTTGAGAACTTGAATATAATACGAAAATAATAAACTATTATAGTTGTTAAGTATAAATGTGATACTTAGTCGATTGATAATAGTTGATAAATCTAAGTGTGATGCTTATCTAGTTGATATGTGAAAATATTAATTTATAAATGCACACAAACAGAATAGACAATTGAATAGTGTAAACTATGTTGCATGTGACATGCATCATATGTATTTGAAAACTATTTTTGTATAGGGTATTGGTGTGGAATCCTATATCAGAGAGGTCCTTTGGTGATCAAAGTATTTAGACCTTGGAGGTCAACTTGGTTTGGGATCGCCATCATGCTCATGATGAGGGATGGAGTACCTTAGGATGACATTATAACCCTAGCGAGCCACTGATGGATCTTTTCTTAGTGAATGTTTGGTAGTAGACACCTAGGTAGGTAGGGTGGCTCTGTTCACTAGCATGTGCTCCAAAATTACTTTATGAGCTTTTGAGAAATGTGTGATTTTGAACTTGACACTGTATGCATGATTGCATTAGAATATGAAATGCATTACATAGCATGGTTATATTATGTTTCCATGTTAATGATTACAATTGTTAATTGTATATAATTATATAGTCTTGGTGTGCTTTGTTATATATATTATAATTGTTTGTGTTACCCAACTTTGTTTTACACGAGAAATACTAAGTGAAACGTATGTATTATATATATTATTTGTGTTTGAGCTAAATGTCATATGCAAATGGGGATCAATTGGAGTTCTAGAAGATAAGCTTAAGCTTATACTTTGCTTTTAGATTTGTCTTGCTCTAATCGAATGAGACCTTAGGGATTATGTTTTAGTATTGATTGTTTTGGACTTTATAGTTGTCTTTTATTTAGTTCAATTGTTTATAGTTTTTGAATTAATGTGTGGTCTTTGGAGGGCAATCCTTTTGTTCAGCATTTCTTTATCTTAATTGGTTTTGTTTAGATACATGACTAGTTGTTTAGAATATGTTTTCCTTTTTCATTTGTGAGGTGTTTTAAATAATTTTTAAAAAGATCATATTTTTCTTTCAATTGCAAAAATACCTTTTAATTATATTAGTTAAGAGGAGTAAAGAGTCACATATACTGATTCATTCTTCAACCAAAAGCTATATCCAGTTTCTTTACATTAAGGATTTCTACTAAACATTGAGTATTTTTACTAATTCTTCATGCCTGCAACACTTAATATTTCTTGGACTTGAACAAGTATTTTAATTGTTTATTTATGATACAACCACAATAATATCACGCAAGTGTCACCTTTTGTTTGGATATGGAAAGAGT